CCCCCCCCCCCCCCGCCGCAGACCTCCCCCCCGCTGTCTACGCCGGCGCCCTCTCCGCCCTATCCTCCCCCTCCCTCCTCCAACGCGTCTCCCAACTCCTCTCCCAATTCCACCACCATGACATCTTCTGGTCCATCAACGGAATCGCCGCCCCCGATTTAACCCTCATCTACGTCCCCGAGAACTGCCACGTCGACAACCCCATCCACTTGCACTACACCCCGCCGCACGCTACCACCCCCACCCCGAACACCATGCACCTTTCCAACCCCAGGGTCCTTGTCATCGTAGAAAAAGGAGCACACGTCCAAATAACTGAGGAGTTTTCCAATGAGAACCAAAATCACCCTTATTGGACTAATGCAGCTTTTGAGGCAGTGATTGGAGAAGCTGCCAACCTCACGCATTCTTATATCCAGACTCAGTCATTCCGTGCTGCTCACATCAAATGGACCTCTGTTCGTCAGGTCAATTTATTGCCCTTTTTTTGCATTTCACCTTTTTCACAACCACTGATTTTCATGGTTTGCTTTCAGGAATCGTCTAGTACGTACAAGCTCACCGAGGTGAGCTCGGGAGGAAAAGTGGGAAGGCACAATCTTCATATCCAGCAATTGGGACCTCACACCGTCACCGAGTTATCAACTTTGCATTTGTCTGTTGGGGATCAAACGCAGGACTTGCATAGTTCTCTTGTCTTGGACCATCCGCGGGGCTATTCTCGACAACTCCATAAATGCATTGTAACCCATTCTCAGGGACAAGCTGTTTTTGACGGAAACATTAAGGTTAACAGGTACTAATTCTGCATTATCTATATCACCTCTTATTTTTCATATCAACTTTATGGACTCAAATGCAATTTAAAATGCACCACTAGAGTATAGAAGGTTGGAGTAGGATGCACAGGTTATAAGTTTGAGCCTTGCTAGCATTATTGTAATCTCTACAAAAGAAAAAAAAAATGCAATCTAATGAGCTTATGGGCATGTATGGATAAATTTATCCAAACTTCTAATAAAGACGATTAGGAAGGAAATAAGTTTAAAATTAGTTTATGGTTATACTAATTTATAAAAGGCTTCCCCTGTTAGCTCTTTCAAAATCATATTTTTTAACTTGCGGAAAAATTAGTTTTATCAGATAGAGAAATTTAATTATTTTTCTTTCCTATTTTTCTCTATTAGAACTGCCCTGGATAAATTTATATAATCAAATCCTAAATGAACTAGAGCAAGTGAATTTGTTTTCACTCTATATAAGTAATGTACTATTTTCGTTTAGGTATGCTCAACAAACAGATGCAGGGCAGTTGACAAGAAGTCTTCTACTTGAGCCTCGTGCAACTGTGAATGTCAAACCGAATCTCCAAATTGTGGCTGATGATGTTAAGTGCTCCCATGGAGCTGCGATAAGTGACCTGGAACAAAGTCAACTGCTGTATTTTCAGGCACGCGGCATTGACATAAACACTGCTAGGAGAGTTCTGATTTTTGCTTTTGGAGGGGAGGTCATAGATAAGTTTCCTAATTCTTCCATTAGAGACAAAGTACGGAGTCAGATTAAAACGTTGTTGGATCCATCTTCGGATTCGTCGTCATTGTAGGTGTGTGATAAATGTGTACATTTTAAGTTGCCGGATAAAATGATGAATTCAAATCAAAATAATATTCTTTTTACCAAAATTCATTGCTGAGACAAAATTGAAGTGTGTTCTATTATGTATGTAACTGATGAGTGAAACAATTGGTGCATAATGCTTCACCGTGTACCACCAATTTCTAGGTGTATTTACTTTTAATGTGAAAAAAAGCATTTGTTTAGTGTAAAATCGTTACCTTACCTGTATGTAGGAGCTAGAATCATTATATGCTATTGTTACCCAAGTTGAGGAAGCCTTAGCCCGCCAGTGGTAATCAGATTCTAATCAATCTCAGAATGTGGATGATGCTATTACTGCTACCACGCTACTCTTCGCACAGATTGCATTCTGTTAGCTACTCATGTCCTCGGTCTGGTCTCAAGTCAAACTGCTAATAACGTACTCTTTGACACTTTTTCTCGATACATCATATTCTACTGGCAGAAATTCATGCGAGTCTCTTTGGTTTTAGAATGAGACCACCAAATGAATGATCTACATATTTAATAGGATTCGCATAAATTTTGCCCAATTGGAGAGTGTATTTTAAAGAGTTAGAAAAGTATATTTTTAACATATCTCCTGGGGTGCAAATTGACTCGCATTATACACTTGTTTCTATGGGCGTAGTCTTGTTCTTATAGTCTCTGTTTTGGCAAGCCACCGTTGTTGGTCCTCCCAGCCACCTTATTTGACGTATCTCCGTCGTTTTTTAAAAAAATTACATAAATAAAATTGCCCTCCTCGAGCAATCACAAAACAAAATAATCAGCTCTGCAATGCCAATTTGGTTCCAGCAATTCGAAGCCAGACAAAACATTATATGGAGTTCAAAGCGTTAGCGAAATCTAACAATTTTACTTGATGTTAAGTAAGGTCTGAATAAATTTCTATAAAAGCAATTTTAAGAGAAGAAAAAATACTAAGAGAAATAGAAATAAACTTTTTCATTAGTTAAAACTATCTTATGTATAAGATAAACATCAAGTCTTTGAAGAAGCTAGTGAAATTTTTTATAAATTAACTTATATTTGAAGTTAATTTTAGTTTATGGAAAAACTTGTTTTTATTTTTTTTCTCTATTAAAAGTACTTCTAAAAAAGTTTATTGAAACAAATCCACATAGTTATTAGCACATTCATTATTATAACATTCGAGTATATAATACCAGGAGAATTTTTCTGTTCAGAATTTACGGATCACGTGCGATGCCCATAATGTGCCGAGGTCGAAAAATGTGATATATTATGGCTTGTATTTATGCTGTGAACATATTCCGCCAGACGGTAATGAACATGTTTTTTTTTCTTTTTCTTTATGAACAATTTTCCCCGTACTTAAACTCGATTGAATGTAGATGTGATCGTCAAAAAGGAGAGATGTTTGGAATCTTTCACCAGAGACAGAACAGGCTAATGGTAAAGGCTTATCAACCAGTATGAGGTGGAATCTATAACCATTGGCCATTGGAGAGAAAACATGCATTTTATTGGGTTATTTCTGCCATTTGGTCTATTGAAATCATTAGAAAACATTTTTTTTTAATTATATATACCGTTTAAGATATCCTCCATACTTTTTCTTTGGGTAGAGGATACCCTCCATAGTTTGAATCTGTTGCGTTGGTACACATTCCTAAAAAATTCAGCCTATATGCTTGATATTCGAACAGAACTATGGCGTAACTGATTGAGAGACAAATACTAAATCACACAGGAAAATGATAGCAATCCATATCGTTTTTTCTGTGCTTATCAAGTTTTCGCCGGGGAATATTTCATTCTACAACTTAAATGCAGTTATCGGATTGAGATCTCTAATTCAGAATCATGTTAATCCGCAATGGTAGAAATCCACCTTCAATTACATACTTTCTTCTCTGACTAGTGACTGCCCTAAGTTCAGTCAGTACATTTGTATCCCCACCAATATACACCCAATTCTCTTGGCTAGAGCCAGAGAAAGAAAAGGAGCAAAAGAAAAAAAAAATTGGAAAGAGCCTCCGCTACTCAAAATTTCATCATTTTTCATCTCTATAAACCTGAACAATAGTTGGGAAAAGAGATAGACTACGATTGGAACCAAAAAAGAACAGTTTAAAAAGGCTTTACATTGTTCTTTCTCCTAAAGAAACTTCCGAAACCCATCCTCAATGTCCGTTCCCAATCTGATTTAATTTGCATTTTGCATCTCCCAATTCTGGATAGAGCTCTACCGGTTGCTTCTTGCCATAAACATGCAAGATTCTTCTATACACAACTTTTGTTGTAAAATGGGTCAGCTGCGAAATTTTGACACTGACCCTCAGGTGAAACATGATCATATGTATACAGCCAACAGGGAGTTGAGCAAGATCTCACAGATACTTCCCTGACGATTTCCAGATTCTTCCTTCAAGCGATATCACCATCACAGTAACATCATCATGATACTTCCTCCGATCTCCTTGAGGGATGTCCAGCAACTCGTGGAAATCCATTCCTGCAACAATTTGAGTCCAAAATTAGTAAATAACCACTCTAAATCTGGTCATATACAGTAGCTGACAAGTCCAAAGATTTGAACAATATGTTGATTCAAATATTACACTTAATTATTTTCTTGTTTCTATCTTATTTTTTAGTTGCCTTAACCCCCACCCCAGGCTGGGCTGTAAAGTGCAAACAGCCCACTAGCATCAAACAAATCATTTCAAAAACAAGCTTTCTCTGCAAGAACCAACCAAACCTATGCACATAGACTTGAAACCCTCCGGGAGAGTCCAAAAGAGGGATAAAATAAATCCTCAGCCGACAGATAGAGTCACAAATGTAATGACTGATTCTGGCCAAAAAATATAGTTTGTCACCAAATTAACCGATCAATAATGTTTGAATGTTAGACTATTTTGAACTACCATTGGGAGAAGACAGATACTTTTAGTTGTTATACATATAAAGTATCAATTCAAAATAAGTAAATAAATAAATAAATATTTTGCCATTTCCATTCCTCCATTTATGTCATATAAACAAATTGAACATGTTCAACGTGACTTTATGCAAAGCCATAAGAAAGATTCATGCGATATGAAGAGTTGTTTACCAGCCTTTCTAGCTGCACGTAGGAGCAGCTCCTCTATTAAATGCTGTGCAGGATCTCCATCTGGAAACTTTTCCATGAAACTCTCAACTTGAGAAACCACTTCTTCATTGCTTAGATATTGATACAACCCGTCAGATGAGAGGATCAAGAACTGATCTCTTGGGCATAATCTATGGTGACGTAGAGAAGGGCAGCAGGATATATATGGAGCAGTGCCAATATATTCATTACGAAACATTTCTAGTACTACATCATTCCACTTCGGCTGCAGAAACAATTAAATCATACCATCAAATCAGCGTACATATAATATGTAAGAAGTTTATGAATTGTAGCCTTGAACAAAAGACATAATAAAATAGAAGGGTTCAATTTTCTGGATGTGGATAATGGGCATGCGCACCAGTGCCATAGGCACTAAAAAAAGTGAGGTTGCATGAAACGTCTCCCCCATGGCCAGAGTAGAAAGTTTGGCATACTCTGAAACCAAGGAGGGCCTGACCGCACATCAAACCACCAGCCACAAAAAACTGAAGGACAATGATAGACATAACAGCTATACACCAGTTCCCCATGTTCAAAAATAAATAGAAAGTATATATATAAGTTTGCTGCAGGTTATGGTATTATGCACAATAAGTTAAACTCAAAGTAAGCTTTTCTTGTAAACATCAAGTCCTAATCTATTCTATGCAAACTTGCAAAAAAAAAAAAAATTATAAAGAACTGATATTTCATAAGGACAAAACTTAAGCACAATTCCTTAAGCGTGGTTGGTACTATTCTCTAATCAGAATTGTATCTTAATGGGATATGCATTAAATGCAAGTGCATGTTACAGAGATAAAACTTTAATATTGATTGGAGCACAATGCCACCCGCACTTAAGAAACTGTATATGTTTTATCCATTTCATAGATGGATTGTGCTGCGCCTAAAAAGGACAACCAATGCTTCCGATAATAATAGTGGATATCAATGTCATTCATCTTCTCATATACAACAATGAGATGTAAACAGAGAGAACGAAATATTATTACAATAGAGTATTTCAAAACGCACCTGTTTCAAAAATCCAGCTCCAAAAGCTCTAGTAACCTTAAGACGGCCTTTGACTCTATCATTTACAATACAATGACTATCATCAGGATGTTCATTCTTAATCCTAATAACTTCCTGCAAAACAATAAACTTCAATTTCAGACACGTGATATGAATTGATCAGAACATGACTGAAGGAAAAGGAAACAAAACTAATAGTAGCAGAACTAATAAAATTAGCATTAAAAAAGGAAACTGCAAATAGGCATGAAGCCAAAGATTGAACTTCTTGCTTGAACATAACACTCACATGCCTCGTTAATGAAAGCTAAGATGTCAAAAACTACATGCCACTTGATGCAAAAGCAGAAAGTTGAATTTAGTGAAAGTCTTGGAAACAATCTAATCTCTGATCTTGGGGATACAAAAACACATGTATACAAAAACACATACGAGGAAAATAGTAGTAAAACTTGATGGGAAAAAACAGCATTATTAGCAATCAATAAATTGTAAAACATCATAAGAAAAAACAGCATTATCAGCAATATATAAATAACCATATTAAATCCCAGAAAGCTATCAAAGGAATTACGGAACAATTGAAGGGCGGAAACAGAGAGCAAGAAAAGAAGCAGCACAATGTATGAACGGAAACAGGGAGCATGGGAGAAGTAGCTGATAAACCCAATTTCAAACTTGCCTCTTCAATGCTGGTGCTGTGGTCAGTGGAGAGCTGCAATGCAACCAACCTCCTCTCTTCAGCAGCACCTTCATCCGGAGCTAAGGACTCCTCCACAATGCACTCCCCGCTTGACCCAACATCTCCACCGCTCCCCGATTCCTTGCTAGAATGAACCTCTTTGCACTCATAATGCGCCACAATGGCGCGGCTATCCCCCACGTTCATCACATAAACATCCTCATCCCTCATCAACACAACCAACAGACACGACCCCATCAAAGCAAGCTCCGGATTGGAATCAATAAGCTTATCCGTCATATCCAAATAAGCAAGCTCAGTCATCTCAAGCGCCCTAGACAACGCCCCCAAAACCAACTCATGATCCACAGGCCCCACTTTCCGCCTCCTCCCACCGCCACACTTCTCCCCCTCCTCCTCCGGCGGAGGCGGCAAATTTTCCACCTCAACCTTCTCCTTGTCCTCCGCCCCAACACCAAAGCTCCACGGCAACAACCCCCTCCCATGCCCCTCCTTATGCCTCGACAAACCATGCTTCAGTTTAGACAAAATCAACCACCTTCTACTACCACCCCCCGAACCCTCCTTGCTAACACTCAGAGCATCATCCACCGAAAACGCAAACCTATCCGAGCCAGAGAGATCAAGGCCGTCCTCAGCCTCATCGTCATCCTCAGCGAGAAATTCCCACAGCCTCCGCCTCCTACTCTCAGTCCCCTCCGCTTGAAACGTGACTCTCTTAACGGATCCTTGGAGAGAGTTATTAGAGTCCTCTTCAACCTCATTGTGGTGTTCGGGTGGAGGTTGAGGTTCCGGTGCAGGGTCTTCAAGCTCCCAAAACAAACCCTGAAGCTCTTTGTGAACAGCACGGTAAAGATTAGCCATGAGAAACTCGGGCGCATCGGGGCCGTTGAAACCGTCGTAAATCCCAACGAACAACCAACCCTGCTCCTCCGATACAACCACATGCACACGATCCTCCCCGGCTTTTCCGAGCGCCCACTGCACATTGCTCTCGGTATCGGCTTCGTCTTTGGCCTCGGTCTTCCCCTTTCGGCCCACCGGAACCACCCAGGGACGCTTCTTCTCCGACAGGCTGCGCTGGAAGGCCTTTCTGAGCCCCGCAATGCTCTTCTTGCGCTTCTTCTTAACGTAGACGAGCGGAGCGGAGAACGGCACTCCCGCGGCGGAGGTGGAAACGGCGTCGTCGAGGGGTCCGGAGAGGGCGCCGCTCTCAATTGGGCCGGAGAGGAAGAAGGCCCTCCGGTCTCTCTCTCTGTCGCCCTCTCCACGGGGGACCGGCTGGAGCGGGAGGGCGGTGAAGGAGGAGGTTCCCTTGAAGCCATTGAGGGCGGCGTCCTGGTCGGACTGCAGGACGGTTTTGGGGACGGAGCTGTTGGCGCTGACGGAGGCGCCGGAGATGGCCTTGAAGGCGGTTTCGGAGAAGCGGAGGGAGGCGGAGGGGGAGAGGAGGCGGTCGGAGTGGGAGGGGGAGAGGAAGCGGGCGGAGGATCTGACGTAGCAGAAGGAGTGGCCTAGGGTTTCGTCCAATGGAGGCTCTGCTTCGGCGAAAACGAGTTGGTGCTGGTGTTGGTGTTGGTTGTGGTTAGGCGTGTTTGTATTGGAGGGTTTGAAGCAGGATAAGAGGTTGCAGAGGCCATTGCTATTGCTTCCCATCACATTTGGATTTTGGAGGAACCAACCCAACACAACTCGAGTCCCGCGACTGCGACTTCACTTACCCTCTCTCACACCCAAACAAAACAAAACATAGAGAGAAAAAGAAAAGGAGTGAGTGAGTGCCTCTGTCTCTGTGACTGTGTGTGTGAGACCAGAGAATTCTTAGAATTTTTTTTTTTTTTTTTTTTTTTTTTTTGCGGGTCTTTTTTCAAATCCAAATATTTGTTGTGTTCTGTGCACTTTCTTCCCATTGTCCGACTTTGACGGTTACGTGAGCTGGCGTCTCCGTTTTCCTTTTTTTAAACACCTACTCTACTCCTTCCCCTTCGCCATCATCCTTTCATTTTTTTTTATTATATAAATAACTTCAACTCATAATAATAGTATTTATTACGAGACAAAACTTTAATAAATATTTTAATCTTTCATTAATATAAAACGGAGTGAAAATTTTAATGCTTCATTAATAGTATTTGAAAAACATTTTAAAATAATCATAACTTCAGTTTTTAATGTTGTTCCTGTGTTAGGATACACACTTCAATTATCCTTGTTGTAGCGGGTATGGTCCTGGGTCTCGGTCTTCTCGTCCCATCCGGGTAGTCCGAAATGAGGGGGGTGCCTGCAAAGACACTCCAACGCTCAAGTAAGTGTTCGGCGTAATAAATGTGGTAGTTCAGAATTAAATGCATACCTTGTTGAGGTCCTATTTATAGTGGTTCTTATTGGGCTGCAATTAGGGACTGGGCCCCGGAAAATTAGGGGTTTAATCTTGTGCATTATATTAATTAATCTCTCCGTAACCATCTAGATGATGTCGACAGACTCGGCCGACTCCGCCGACCCGCTTTACCCATGTAGGGTTGGTCGGCGGGTTCGGGTATTCGGCGATCTCGGGTATTCGGCCGTTTCGGCTACCATACGGTATACAACCCCCGCAGCGTCAAGGATGAGGAAAGACGAAGACGGTATGGAGGAAATTATGACGTGGTATTCGGTGTCCCGGAATAAGGGTCGGTATATGAGTATGTCGATGCTGTCTTGATTATGCTTGGGTCGACCTTGACCATGGGCTACAGCCGAGGTCTTTTGTGGGCGATGTCTCGGCCGAGACATCAGGCGGTACTGGCAGAGACGTTGGCCGTGAGGTCAGGCTGAAGCCTTTTGTTTGTGGTCTAGGCCGAGGCCTTGGCCGTGTGAGGTCAGGCCGAGACCTCCTGCACGGGTTCTGAATCTTGATGACTTAGACCGAGGCCTCGGTAGGTGTGTCTTGCCACGTTGGCCCTAGCGGTTATGGGCCCAACGGTTATTAAATCTGAGCCGTTGGATGAGGTAGATCGAACGGTTGTGGCCCAGGGGCGTCTTTTCCCCTCCCCTGATTTACCTTGCCTATAAATAGGGGTGTTGATGTGAAAGTTTAAGCGGTGTAAATTTTTCGAGCTCTCCCAAGATCATATTCTTCCGAACAACCCGAGCAAGGTAAAATTTTGTATTCTTTAATTTTAGCAATAAATGGATAAAGGTTACGTTTCGGCTAGGAGTTGGACGTCTTCGGAAGCGTCGGGCGCTTCATCAGACAAGGAGGGGTCGACTTCAAGTGAAATATCGAGGTTACCCCCGCTGCAATGCGAAGTTGTCTTCCCTTCCGATCGACCCGAACAAGAGGATAGCGGGGATGAGGTGGTCGAAGTATCGCCTCCGACAACATTGGCCGCGGCCTTGGCACGGGCAACCGAGGTGGATGACCGAGGTCTAGGTCTAGTCGGTCAACCGCACCAGCAAGCGTTGCAAGTTGATGTGAGCGCGGACGAACTGGAAGTGGTCGGCGATGCGCGAGGCAAGAGAGCTGGTGGGCCGAGTACTCGGGTAAGAGCGCGGATCGACTACGGAACTGTGGAGATTCCTGGTTACGAGTGGGTTGACGGCGAGGTCGGCATTTATCTTTCGAAATTGTCCGACCAGGGGCTATTAGACACATTTGTTTCTTTGGAGAACTGCTTCGGGAGTGGGGAGGATCATTTTCCCCTACTTGCCGAGGCGTGCATGGACGACGGGCCGGAGACTGATTTCGTGTTTTTGGAGTCGGGGGACGACGAAGATGATTACTTCTACGCGTATATGTGCTGGTTCGAAGACCTCGGTGTTCAACTACCCTTTGACGATTTTCAAATGGGGGTTCTCCGAGTGCTCAATGTGGCACCGACTCAATTGCACCCGAATGCCTGGGCCGCGATGCAGGCGTTTCGGAATTTATGCTTGTGTTTGGGTCTGACTCCCCGACCCCTGGCTTTCCTTTACTATTATACTAGTCGCCCGAGTAAGCCGGTAAAGTGGGTGTCACTGTCTCGGGTGCCGAAGCGAGGATTCCTCCGAGCCTTCACTTCTTCCTACAGAGGGTTTAAAGATGGGTTCTTCAAGGTTCGCTGGGGGTCGGACATGAATAATTGCTTTTATGACCGAGAAGGCGAACCTCTATTTCCCTTTTACTGGACGAAGCGCCCGACGCGTTATGAAGCGATGTCGGCGTCTAAACTCCCTGCCGAGGACAAGGAGATCGTGGATTTGTTGGATCAGCTACCGAAAGGCTTGCCTGTTCGAGGCCTTTTGGACATTTTTGAAACGTCTCATTTTGAGATGGCCTTGCTAGGTATGCGTTCTAGGATTCGGTTACTTAATCAGTTTAAATTGATGTTAAAATTTACTTCGTTGCAGGTTTAATGGCCGGAGGTAAACTAGACGTGACCGCCATGCTCGCGAAAAGGGCGAAGGATGCGAAGGCTAGTGGGCAGGTCCCGCCGGCGCGGTCGGGGCTGAGGATGGCTCGGGATAAGCCTTCACATGTGTTGATTCCTACCGCCGACCCCAAGAAGAAAGGAAGCACTTCCCGAGTGAGGGCGGCTGATCACAATATAGAGCTGGAGAGACCGAGCTCTTCTACCAAGCGGGCCAAGCAGCTGTCTCTGGAGTAATCTGGTTGCGGCAACTTCGCTATCCCGGCTGTTGTCGCCGGCTCCAACTTCCTTGCCCCGAACGTGCAGACCGAAAACTTGGTCGGTTTAGATCTTGCTACTGGGGGCGGACGGCAATACCTGGAGGCCATGTCTGCCGAGGCCGCATATAAGCTGTTTTGCGAACTCGATACTCGGACCCCCCTTGTTGCGACGCATGTCATGAACAGGCATGCTGTGTCCGAGGAAAGGATCCATGGCCGACTCAAGGAGGCCGATGCCACGGTAAAAGAGACGTTGGCTGCGAACGCCAAATTGACTGAGTCGGCTGAAGAATTGAAAAGGATTGCCGACGCCCACCGAAGGGAGGCCGACGACCTGAAGTTGACCGTGCAAAGGCTGAAGGTCGACGCCGTTGCGTCGACGAACGAGATTGCTCGGTTGAAAGAGGCGGCCGCGAAGGTTGAAGCCGAGGCTACCGAGCAGATACTTGAGCAACATGATGCCGGTTTCCGGCATGCGGTGAGGCAGGCTTATCATTTTTGTGAGGTTCCGGCTGATTTTCAGTTCGATGTTGGTCGGGACTTTTTAGGCGGCAAGTTTATGAGCTATTCTGAATTCCCCCAAGGGGCTCAACCCGATGCCGAGGCCCCTCATCACGGTATTTCCGTCTAAGCTGCCTTGCAATTAGCTGAGGATGAAGATCCGATCATTGACGTGGTTGGCGAAGGCGATGGAGGTAATCCTGGAAGCTCGGCAGCTACTTAAGGGATCGGCCCGTTGACAGTTTAGGATTACCTATTTTTTGTAACCGGGCCGTGAGTGCCTTTTGTTGTTTTCGGCCACCGGTGCCTAGTAATAGATTTTTTGTAATCAGCTACTTAGATTTTTTGTAAGTAGCCGTTTCGGCCACCATACTCTTGGTTTTTATAATGGATTTTTTTGCATGTTTATAGTGCCTAGTAATGTAGACATAATCCGACTTATTGGTGCATATTTCGTGCGTTGAACCGAGTGTATTATGTTTCGGTGAGTGTTCGGTTACCATTACGTGTTTTGAACTATTGCTCGAGATTTACTTTGGATGCGGTGTGTTCGGAGTGATTGGCATAGGGCACGAGTTTTTTTCGTATGATTAACGGATTAGCCGGGATCGGTAACGAGTGTACTTTCCGTAATCGACCGTATACTGGTTGGCGCCGTCGCGGTTGCTAGGCCTCGTCGCGGTTGGGGCTAATGCTCGGCCTAGGTACGTCCTTAGCCGAGGAGGGTACTCGGGAGGGAAACCTGTTCGGCACGAGTTCACTTTGTTGTCGTCGGCCGAGTGTTGCTCGGCCTAGGCTCGATTGCACCGTTTTAGTGATCGGCCGAGAGTTGCTCGGCGTCGGTGCGCAGCGTAGTGCTCGGCCTAAAACACAATAAAAACGCAAACAATATGAAATTTTTAAACTTTTATTATTGAAGTGCCTCGTTAAAAACCTTGCCGACCCAAAACCCTCCTTAGGGAAAAAAGAGTCGGCCAAAGAAAAGAGTGCACCGTTACATCAGCTGTAATACATTTTCAGATGAGAGGAGTTCCAGGTTCTCGGAATTGGTTCTCCCGATAGGTGCTCCAGCTTGTACGCTCCGTTGTTCAAGTTGTGTCGGATTCGGAAAGGACCGTCCCAGTTTGGGGCGAGTTTTCCATGTCTCGGATCTTTCCTTGCCTCGCCTGTGGCTCTCCAAACAAGATCGCCCTTGCGGAATTCTCTAGGTTTCACCTTGCTGTCAAATCTCCTTTTGTAACGTTGCTTGGTGGCCTCGGCCACGACTTGTGCCCTGTCTCGAACGCCTTCCACGGTGTCCAGGTTTACACGGAGCTCGGCTTCGTTGTTCGACTCGTCGTAGTGGGCTCGGCGGAACGAGGGTTTCCCGATTTCCACTGGGGTCATTGCGTCAGATCCGTAGACTAGGCGAAAAGGAGTTTCTTGTGTAGTCGACTGGGGCGTGCATCAGTAGGCCCATAGTACCTCGGGTAACTGGTCGGCCCATGCCCCCTTTGCTTCTCCAAGGCGTTTCTTAAACTCAGCTAAGATGACTTTATTACCCGACTCGGCCTGACCGTTCGTCTGCGGGTGTTGTTTTAGTGATCAGCCGAGAGTTGCTCGGCGTCGGTGCGCGGCGTAGTGCTCAGCCTAGGTACATCCTTAGCCGAGGAGGGTGCTCGAG